AGTGCAAAGGTATAAATTTATTGTTTTCGTTTGCGCAATAAAGACAATATTCAGTCTCATTATTGTTTTTAATATTATCATTAAAAGGTTTATGATGTTCTGTGGTTGTCTTATATACTCTTGTTATTTGTGGCATCTTTTTTTCCACCTCCCTTTCTGTTGTATTTATACAAAATGCGCACACTCTCCTTTCTATATTTGCACCGTCAAAATTTTCAAATAATATGCCCTTTAAGATGAAATACGACTCACAATCAGGCAAAAAGGGTAATATGAAGTTATTAAGTTGAACCCGATTTTTGGCAGCATTTACCTACCTTGTTTATTCTGCTAAAACTATCCAACTAAGTAATTCATCAGTCTCAATCGGAAAGTCCTGATTTACAACATGAAGTTCACTGTTCTTACCTTGAAGTTTAAATATACAACGCATAGTGAGAATATTTCAACGCCTCGCGTGACACCCGATATTTTTATTACTTTACTACAGTCGATTGATACGCCGCTCACTATGCAACTTATCTTAATTGCCGAAATTTATTGTGCTTGTATCAACGAAAAGGTCACTGCTGCTACTGTTCAGGTTTTACTTTTACTAGGAGGTCGCCGTCCGATACTCGCAAGTTTTATCGTGTATCTTACCATTATCTTCTTGCACTGTCTCAATTACATTTGGCTTCTCCGGCTTGATGTTATCTATTGATAATATGTGACATCCGAGCATCCGGGGAGTTTAAATGAGCGTTCTGTAAAATATTTTGGCGGTTATTGAATCTGTTATTGCGGCTCGGTGCATTTTCATAATTTTCTTCTCCGTCGTGTCGGTTCGGGGTCTTATTGTAACGTCTCTCCTCTCGTTTCGATGCGTTATCACAAAATTTTCTTTTATTTTGTCGTGGTGCGTTGTCATAGTGCTTTCTATCGCTGAGTAACTGTTCTCTGTAATAGTTGTCGCAGCCTTGGTCACGCTGAAAATCATTTCATTCATTGTAATTTTCTCTACCACTATTATCATAATTTCTTCTATTAATATATTTTCTCCGAGCTTGATTATTGAAATTGTAATAGTTTTGACGCGCTTCTACCTATTTTAAAAGGGGAAGGTGAGAGAGGCGCTTTTGCTCTAGACGCAATCGGAAGAGTAGGCGGGAAAATAAACCAATTTTATTAATACCAAATCACAAGCTTTTTATTATCTTATCATTCAAACAAACGCGCGCTTAAACTAATCAACTATGAACACCTAATTCGTATGTCTACAATATGAAACTAATCAAAAATCTAAGCATCTTAATCGTAAACACGACTTATTCTAATGCAAAGAAACTCGTAAAGTAGCCGGCGAGCGATCGCCTGGCTATCGCACACTTATAACTCAACGAAACACGCAATACAAATTACCGAAAAAGGAATTAAACAAAGGTGACCGGCAAATGATCGCCTGGTTACCTAATAATTCGCGCGGCCGCACATTACTGCAAGAGAGAGATAACCTGACCTTTGTTTTTCTCCTCGATGATCCCTTGAAGGCGTAAGTGGCAACTCGGGCAGGCCAACTGTCCGGCCTCTTGTCATTGTCGCTACTACAGATGGTGCGCGCTCTGAGAAGGCCAGAGCGTGAGGCCGCTCGGGATGAAAAACAGCCAATCTCTTCTTCCAGGGAACAACGGCAGATGATAGCAATGCGAGCTAATTCCTTGTTCGACTGACGTCGATTGCTGGTTGACGTAGAGTAAATGACTGATGCCACGCATTCCTGCACTGGCAGTGACCGCTTTCTCGCAAATTATCCCTATTTAGCCCATTTTTAGGTGACGTGCAACGAAGCGCTAATTGATCACGCGTCGCCCGCCTGCCTAATAACCGCTTATCATACGCTCACGTGAGCGCTCTTTCTCTCTTTCTCTCTCTCTATCTTTTCTAGTTCTCTCTCTCTTTCTTCAACTACAGCGTCTTCTTACGTTTGTCCTTCTGCAACGCTCTCTCTTGCTCTCTTTAGGCTATCTTAGCCGAGCCTAGCAATTTATGGCGGCTGAAAAAGAGGTACAGTATTAGGCGTATAGAAAAGTGTGCCCAATACTGACCACTCAGCCTTACCGAGGGGAAAGGGGGAGGCAGAGGGGTCGACGAGAAACAGGCAACAGCCTACTCTCCTCACAAAATTTCTGTTACCATTGTCGCTAAAGTTGTGCCTATCATAAGAGGTGTGACAATTAAGTAGTGAGACTGATTTTGATGCCGCGCTTGTGGTAAACCTGCGACCTTGGAATTTCCTCCCACTTACCCGGCATCCTTTCCTTCTCCATTGATATATTTACCATCGCTCTAGCTTGTTTAGTTCGCCTGCTGTGTCGTGTTGAGTAGACGTGTGTTGGTGGTGCTCGTCACGAAAATGGAGAAATGAAATCAAGAACAATGCGTCGCTATAAAATTTTGCGCCAGATTAGGGGAAACAGCTTCAAAAACGTACGCTAAAATTGTAAAAGTGTATGGTGATAGTGCTTTTAGTCATGCCCAGGTGTTTTGATGGCATAAAGATTTTAAGGAGGGGCGTGAAAGCATGGAAGACGAGACGCGGAGCGGGAGACCAGACGAGGTGCGGACTGACGCGAATGTGCAGCGTGTGCGTACCCTAATCCGTGAAGGTCGGTGTTTAACAGTTCGAATGTTAGCCTCGGAACTGGGTATGAACCGTGAAACAGTCAGACAAATTTTAACCGACGATTTTGATATGAAAAAATTGTGCGCGAAGATGGATCCAAAGAACCTTTCTGAGGAGCAAAAGCAGCATCGAATGACCGTCGCAGAACACTGTTTTGAACAAGTGGAAAATGATCCCACGCTGCTTGTTTGAGTTATTACAGGCAATGAGAGCTGGTTTTTCCAATACTACTCGAAAACCAAACGTCAAAGCTCACAATGGTTATCTCTACATGCCCCCCGCCCGAAAAAAGCTCGCATGAGCAAGTCGAAGGTGAAAGCGATGATTATTACCTTTTTTGATCGCCGTAGAATCGTCCACAAAGAATTTGTTCCATCGGGGTAAACCGTAAATCAAGACTATTATGCCAAGTACTCAAAAGATTGCGAAAACGAGCCAACACGGTGCGCCTAGACATCGCTCGTAACTCGCCCAATATTTGGCCTCTAAAAGGATCGCCGTGTTGCAACAGCTGCCTTATTCGCCCGATATATCACCCTGTGACTTTTTTTGTTCCCTAGAACAAAATCTTCTGACTTCTTAAACACACTTGGAAATCGCTTGATAGTAAGAGACGATTATAATACGAAATATCCGTGGTGGAGATCATTATCATCAACTCTAACTTTCAGAAGAGAATACTCTATGAAATACTACAAAAAAATAACTATATTCTGTTATTCACTGAAGAACCAACATTCTGGCCTATCGATGTAAACAAGCTTCCGAATTTGATTGACTTTGCTATAGTAAAAGGTATACACAAAAATTATTTTGAAGTGTCATCATTCATCGGTATGAATTACTCTACACCACCAAGTCTTTGATGAAGTAAACAATAACATAAAAATCGACTGGAAAAAATATGCTCTTTATATAGAGGAACGCATAACATGCAACATTTCTCTTAGAACAGCTAATAATATAGAAAGCAGCATTAACCTACTCAACGTTATTCTAACTGAAACTATTGACAAATGCTCTACTACAATAAATAAACATAAAACACAGTAAATCATGTTTACTAAAATAATTTAAAAAATTTAAGAAAAGAGATTATTAAGAAAAAGGTATCAAATAACTAGATCGAGTCAAGACAAAACTAAAGTAAATAAAGCAACCAAAGATCTAAAGAAAATGTTATATGAAAAAAGAAACACAAACACAGAATTATTTCAAGTCACTGAGTCCTACAGAAGCAACAGATTACTCATTATGAAAAGTTACTAAAAGACTTAAAAAAACAATTTCATATTATAAATATTTATAAATATATATATATATATATATATATATATATTGTAACGGGGTTGGTAAACCGTCGTATTATTTATGCGCGCGATCACGTCGAAGAGCGCGCGGGATTATCTACACGTTCAAATTCGAAAATCGGAGAGCAGGAGGGAACGGGTGTCAGTCAATCAACTTTCTACTAATACGAAATAATAATATCAGAATTACGGTCAATATCACATGCGAGATCGTTTATTACCTTTTATTTCTACAATGTATTAGGCCCGCGTATTTATGTTTACAAAGCGCGCGCGCGACAATAACATGCAGTGTCGGATCGGTCGCCGGACTTTGTTCGCCGGGTTAATACATGCACGCTTCTTATGGAGTACGAGAGATTAGTTATTGACAATTATATAACAATCGCGAAATTAAGCTGGCCAGCTTACCTTATTAGCAGTCGCACGGAGAACGAGAGAAAAAGTTCGCACTCTAGCTGCGGGAAAGTCTGTCTTTGTCACGAGGTATTTCGCGTTTTCGGTTTCGCCCTTGATGGCGAAACCCCTCACTCACGCACACTAGCACGTACTAGCTCTGGTCTGGCTCAGGCACAGCTCCTGTCGATCCTTATCAGTTGACTCCTCTTAGCACTCCAAGAAAACTCGGCAAAATTCTATTTGTACATTAGCAGCAGCTGAGTGTGCGGGTTCTAATCTTCAACTAGTTCATTTTCATACGCGCGTTCCGTTCCGTCGCATGCCGAATTCCCTCATTACACACATTTACCTCAACCGGTAGGTGCTGCCCTCGCAGGCAGCCGCATGGTTGGGCTGTTAGCGCTAATAAGACGTTTACCTTCACAATATATATATATATAAAATAATTTTAATAATTTATAGAATTCTAACACAATCCCTGCTGCTGTACCGACTGCTTATCGTGCTGTTGAACGCAGTAAGTTCTTTTTATTTTTTTAAATTATTTATTATTTAATATTTTAATAATTATTTATTTTCAGTTATTCAGGTGTGCGGGCAACACACAGCACGTTGCCCAACTCACGCAAATGATTGCAGTTGCTCGAAAAGTAAGTATATTATTATTATTATTTAACTCTGTACATATACTTATTCAGATTTTTTATTTTTCAGTGGATTAAAGAGTCATTGATCGACAGGCTGGTTGCGCAGCAATTAGCTTATCGAATAGAAAAAACGGTCGAAGATCGAGTAACGACGCAGCTTTGTCGCCAGAAGCGCCCGCAAATCATGAGGAAGAAACAGGAGTTCTCACGATTGGAGCGAAAGAGAAGAGCCGAGCTGGCCAAGACGGAGCAGGATGAATTGGTGGACAAAATAAAAAGAAGAGTAGTTCCAACAAAATCGTCCTCGTCAGAATCGCCCTCATCATCATCTTCTGAATCGGTGACGTTGTCATCGTCGGCTACGTTGTCTGCGTCCGCGACGTCTGCGTCGTCTATGACGTCTGCCACATCTGCGACATCAATGCCTTCGCTTGAAATTTTACAGGATGAGGCAATGGATTTGTTAACATTATCGTCATCAGCAACGTCAACGTCATCATCAACAGCAACGTCATCGTCATTATTAACAGCAACATCCACATGCTGTCAAAGAGAAGAAGCGCAAGTTGATGTGCCACTCGATTTGACTACTACTATAAGTAATAATAACTACTATAGAAATAAGTAAATGATTAATAAATATAAATTAAAAATTATAATTAAAATTTTTTTTTTACAGAGAAATATTCCGTTGGTGAAGAATGTCGAGTATGTTCGACGAAAAGTTATATTGATTCCGGCCCAACCAACAGTAAAGAAACCTACTCGCCCCTCGAAGGTCCTCGGATTAAAAAAATTAAAACAATTGTGACGTCATGGCAACGACACATCTCAGGTGCACCTGAGGCTTGGCACAGTCTCAGGGTTCTGTTGTTGCTAGCCTGCGATTTCTCGCATAAGCTAGCGGGATCACTATTCGAAAATTAATAATACCGAAGGGGACAGTGCCATTAAACCTATACTTCTGCTCTTGGATTCCAATCAATAGTTATAATCCGAGAACACGAAGTCCCCTGGGTCCTATCAATAGTAGAACCCGGTTTTCCTATCAAAATCGTACCTAGAGCATATCAAAAGTAGTCTCCAGATACAAAAAAAGGAAGAATTTTTCGTCACGAGCTATTTCTAAGATAGTGGAGAGATAGATAAATTACAAATAAAAATTTTTGTTTACTTAATCTTTTTTTATTGTATAATTCACTCTTTTTAGCCTTCCTGTCCTTATTTTAGATTAATTGATTTTTCTTGTCTTTCTTGTTTCGCTTCTTGGGCTTCTTGGCTTCTTGGCTGCTTAACTCTTTAACTGACTTCTTGACTGAGTTTTGTTGAGTTCTTGGCTCACTTCTTTGCTAACTCCTTGGCTGACTTCTTGGCACTACTGATTCCTGTGCTTCCTTCAGCACTCACTCACTGGTACTCAATCTCTGCCCTCTGGGTCTTATGCAGCCCCTTTTACATCAGGTGGATGGTTGGGTGATGAGTCCCTCTCTCAGCCTCTTGGTTTCGGGAGGAGTGGAGCAGGCAATGATGCGATAATTGGCTCGTTTATCTCTTCTAATTTTCCTCGCTGGGTTTTCGAGCCCTGATTGGAGCGGGGGCATGGAGAAAATTGGGGGCGCGGACACAAGGGTACAGGCCTTAGCTCTTGAGATGGCTCCTCGAGTATCGCTCGTAGCCAATATTTGTTCATAATTTTGTAATTATTAAATAATCGAAGTCGGAATAAATCTAATCGACCGTGCATAGCCTATACACTACTTAATACTAACAACAATATTACAATTAAATATGCCGCTTAATAATTATGTAGTAATAAAATATAATAAAAATACAGCGATGCTTGTTATCTCGTACGCTACGTTCTATAAATTCGTAGATTAATTTCTTATAATAAAAGTTCGCTAAGTAACAGTGAGTTCATTAAAATTAACGTATATTTTCTTATTTTTTTCATTTTCTGCTTAAACTAACCTTCGGAGCGAAAACTCGATAAGAGGTTTTGAGAGGACAAAATTATTTCTGATATATTATTGAAGTCAAACTATTCAAGTTCAAAAAATATTATTTCATAATTTCTAATGCCTAATTTCTAGTTGGAAAGGGAAAAATTCGTTAGTCATGATGTGAACAGGATGCAGACGCGATTTTATGGCGCTCTTCTCTTATCGGCATCTCGGCGCCCATGTGTACGGAGGCTGCATGCACTTCATATGTAAGTGTGAGGGTGCGAGGAGTGGAAGAGCGTAATAAAAAAAAGGAATACACGCTTACATAAATTTAGACTACAGATTTTATTGCCGTTTGGAGATTATCAAGGAAAATTTCCCTGCGACACTTGATTCGATTCCCACAGCTCATGGGAAACGGTTTTAACTCTGCCGTTGGTCTTAATACTAGGAAAAATTATTCTTTTGAAATTTTGAAAATTTTGATCATATGGCCCGCCGTCACACCCCCACACTTGAACGATTACTAGAGGGGTGCAACAAGGAAGAGCAATCGAACTTTTATTTCTAATTATAAGGATCTTGTCGTATCACGCTGTAATCAAGGCTTTATCATTATATTTTATATTCTATAATCTCGAAGACCTTGGCCTAACATGGAAGAAGCCCAAACGATGGTTTAACTGCTTGAGATTGTGATGCTTTCACTTGACGTGAAATTATTGCTACATTTTCAAGAACTTAGCGAATAGGCTTTTGAAAATATTGATTTCTTCCACGAAATAAAAAAAAAAACTAAAAAATTAAAAATGTCGTAAGAATTTTTAAAAAAATTTGATAGCAACATTGAATTTAGCACGAAATACTACATAATCGATTCTAACTTCAGCTCCCTACGACTTTTTTTCAAAGGTAGGTTGAAATTCCCCCCCCCCCCCCAGATTATACATAAATTGTTCAAATGCCAGCCTGATTACTGTTAATGCTCGAAAGTACCCAATATCGGACTGTTACGTCTCAAGACGCATCTTTACTCATTTACATTCTTTAAAAGTGCAATCCCGAATTTCGTAAAATCAAAACTATATACTAGTACACGTCCGCCAGAAAACGATACGGCAGCAAAACACAAAGACCGTACTCAGCGTTACACAACACACAATGAACTCAAAAGGAAAATTACTCAACTACACAGAAACATCAGCGATTAATTGAGCACAAATTTATGTATATAAGATGAACCACCCGAAAGGTGATCAGCAATTATCCTTACTCCGTACACGTCAGTTCGACAATTGACGAATAAACTCTACGTATCGACGCTACAGTCGCGTGCAAGCCTGTTCGACAATTTGGCTAATTATTCAATTATTATCTGTCAAACTATATTATTTGATCTCAATAAATACGCGATCCATTAAAAGTGAGAACGTGCGAATTCATTATTGAACCTATCCAAATACCGAGATCTACGATACTGAAAGTACTCTAGAAACTGTAAGTACAATAAAATAATAAAACACATTCATTCTTATTCATACATCGTATATTATTCATTACTTGTGAGCCTCAATCAGCCACTAGTACTATATTGGTACGTTTCGCATATTCGCTATTCGTAGTTTATGCACGAGACGTAACAGGACATTTCCAAATCTTAATATCAACATCGAATAAAAAGTTTAAATATTATGTATTCGGCCATCTGTTTTGAGTTTATGAGTACACAGAAAGCAAGATGGACTTTATTCAAATCAGTATGATTTTTAAAATGTTTAAAGTATCATGTAAAATAATCTTACTTCATTTTTTTTTCATGAGTTAATTAAATTTTGTCAAATTCTTTATAAAACGAAAGAATAATTAATTATGACATCTCAATCTGTAATATTTTACCTGTTAAGTTTTGATTTAGAACTTTGAAAGCGCATTTTACAGAAAGTCCGATATTAGGTACACTAGCTCGAATTCGGAAAAAAGTAGATCGATTAAAAATTGCTGTAACTTCTGACAAAAAGCAATTTTCTGGTCGTGTGAGGGCTGATTTGAAAGCTTCTGATAGCAGCTTTTAAATAAGGCAACTCTTGATTGAAAATTTGCTTCGAATCAGAAGTTAGGTCCGTCCGCGCTTAGTAGCCCGATATGGAGTACAGGTACCTTAGTTTATGCTACTTCAAGAAATTTTTGTATAAAACTAGTATATCGACTTGCAGAGAATGGTCTCTATATATTAAAGTTTATCTATTATAATGTAAAAATGCATCTACAGTATTTCCAGTTAATAACATAGAATGTCAATTCAAATAAAGTTTATTAAAATTAATGCACGTAATTTTAAAAACAGTTTTCATCTAATTGTCACCATTTTGTTATGGAATGGAAAATAAATCTGTGCAAGTGCGCAAGTTATAATTGCAGCTAAATGTGCTAAAAGAGTACATTAGTCACCAAAGAAGTATAGTAAGCACTGTACGCAATGCTTGACGTGTTCATATCATGCACTTCTTGCCTGTCAACTATACTCCCGTGTTTTATACAATATTTCTACACACTCCAATGAAGTGATGATTTTGTGCCCTCAATCAGCGATACAGAACCGGATTGACTGTCTAAATGTAAAGAACGTATAAAGGTTTGGAACGAAGTTCCCTTCGTATGTAAGGTCAGCTTAATTAATCAGTAAAGTGATTGCCTCTTTTTCTCTGTCCCATCCCTCTCTCTCTCTCTCTCTCTCTCTCTCTCTCTCTCTCTCTCTTTAATATGATTGTTAAAGCAAAAAATAATCATACATACAAAATTATTTGTAATGGATTTTTGCGTTAAATATTTTTAATAGATAAATTTATGTTCCATAGTACAAGGTACACTGCCCGTCAATCACTTTTGCCATGCTTACCTCAAAATTAGGCAAACTAGAAAGTTTTGTATCTCGGTCGGAAATCATCGTATCACAAAAAACCGCAGGACATTTTAAAGGTAATTGCAAAAGCTTCCATTTAAGACGTGCAGAGACTTAAAAATGAAAATATGTGTTTTTTACAGTAAAAAAACTGATTAAAAAAATTTCAATTTTTTTAACCTCGACTTAAATCAATACCAATTTAGAACTAGGCGGTGGAGGTCAAATCAACCGGAAAGGTTAGGAGGGTAATATCTTTCCCTTTAAAATTAGCCCCCGCGGGGTTCTATCCGATGTTTTTTAACCGAGTTACGGCGTTTTTTGTAAAAAAATAACCTTTTTTTTCAATCCTCAATTACTTCGACTTGCGTACGTTTTGGAAAAAAATGCCAACGAGAAAAAAGTTTCATTTTGTGCCCAAGAATACGAAAATAAAGTCAAAATAAAGAAATAGAGAAAAAAATTATTTTCGGTTTTTTAGCGCATTAAAAAAATAAAGGAATTTAACTTTTTTTTTACGCTTCGTTTTAAAATGTCTAGGGACGTAGTAAATCACAAAAAAACTAAAACTAAGCGTAAAAAAAAATTAAATTCCTTTATTTTTTTAATGCGCTAAAAAACCGAAAATAATTTTTTTCTCTATTTCTTTATTTTGACTTTATTTTCGTATTCTTGGCCACAAAATGAAACTTTTTTCTCCTTGGCATTTTTTTCCAAAACGTACGCAAGTCGAAGTAATTGAGGATTGAAAAAAAAAGTGATTTTTTTACTAAAAACGCCGTAATTCGGTTGAAAAACATCGGATAGAACCCCGCGGGGGGCTAATTTTAAAGGGAAAGACATTACCCTCCGA